TTTTAGATATCAAGACATCATAAAGTCATAATTAAGAAAATGTGATATTGTGCAAGGATAGTTGCATAGACCAATAGAAGAGAAGAGAGATCTCAGACACAAACCCACGCATATTTGTGAATTTGATCTGTGGGAGGGATGGCATTACAAATTATTGGAGAAAAAAAATCACTCAATGATACTGGACATTTTCTCTATCATATAGAAAAAATAAAATTAGATTACAGCCCTGGCCAGTTTTCTCAGTGGTTAGAGCATCAGCCCACAGACCAGAGAGTCCCAGGTTCGGTTCACATTAAGGGCATGTACCTCGGTTGCAGTTTGTCCCTGGCCCCAGTTGGGGTTGTGTGGGTGGCGACCACTCGATGCATCTCTTTCATGTCGATGTTTCTCTCTCTCTCTTCCTCCTGCTCTATCTGAAGATAAATGCAAAAATGTCCTCAGGTGAGGTTAAAAAAAAAAAGATTACAGCATACATAATAATAGATCAACTGAAGATATTCAAGTAAAAAGCAAAACTTTAAAACTTTTCAAAGAAAATTTAAGAGACCATCTTCAAGACCTTGAGGGTAGTAAAGGACTTCTTAAAGAAACCAAAAAAACATAAACTGTCAAGAAAAATATTGGTCAATTTGATTAAATTAAAATAAGTGTTCTGTGTTATGAGACATTATTATCAAAGTGTAAAAACAAGCCCCAAAATGTGAGTGGACTCTTGCAACATATAAAAACAATACAAACTACAAATTAATAAAAAAAAACACAACAGTCCCATTAAAAAATAGGCAAAGGACATATTTCCAGGAGAGGACAGCCAAATGGCCAATAAACATTTGAAAAGGCACTAGAAATCCCATGAAATTTAAAAAAATTCAAGCCTCTGAGACCCATTTTTAGTTTCACGAGATGGCAAACATGGAAAAGCCTGACAATTCTAAATGCAGAGGAAGACATGGAAAAGGTGCAGGTGCTTCAGAGACATCTGTAGATGTGTGAGCCTCACAGCGACTGCCTGGTTTTATTGTGTCCCCTCTCACATGTGAGCACTGGGCACATTCACAGCCGCAACACATGGAGTCCACATGAATATCAGACAACAGAACAGATAGACAAGCAAACCCTATGGCAGTTCAAATGCACAAAGGAGCTCTTTGATTTCTATGCCTATATCTCAAAAAAAAAAAAAAAAAAGCAAATAGTCAAATGACATAGGCAGTATGGTAGTGTTTTTTTTTTATTAAATTTTTTTTTTCCTTTACTGATTTTAGAGAGAGGAAGGGAGAGGGGGGGAGAGAGAGAAATATTGATGAGAGAGAACACCGATTGGCTGCCTCCTACATGTCCCCTACTGGGGATTTGTCCCACAACCTGTACGTGTGTCCCAACTGGGAATTGAACTGGCGACCTCTTGGTGTAAGTGTCGACACTCAACCACTGAGCCACACCGGTCGGACAGTATGATAGTGTTTGTATAAAATTTAAAACCATGCAGCTACAACAGTGTATCTTGTTTATGGATGGATGCATAAGTAGTACTAGTATAAATTATACTGTAATAGTGCTAAATTCCGGGAGGCATGCTCCCTGAGGGTGGGGACAGGGACATGGGATTGGAGAGGGTCACACCGTGCTAACTATTGATCTCTTCTTAGGAGAAAGGCCACGCACACAGGTGAGCTTGTTTTGATGTCCTTGAGCAGAGGATCATGCTTACTTTGGCTTGGCATGTCAGGAGTTCTGGAATTTGCTCGGGGACTTGGTGTGCCTTGTGCACGTGGGGGTGTGGGAACCAGGCTGTAGACCTTCAGGTACCTCCTCCACGTTTGCAAGTGCTGGACCCGCCTTCTGACTTGCTGGGATCTGTGACTGTCATGATCCTCAGTTTACCCTGAAGGACAGGAAGGGGAGGTGACCTGTCCAGACTTTAGCTCTGAGATTGGAACCTGTTTCACAGTGACGGGTCTGGTGCTCTCAGGGAGCTAGGGGCCGGGGGAAAAGAGCACGTTTGGTTTTTTAATTATCCTTCCTGCCTAAGTTCTCAGAGCACAGCACCACCCTGCTTTGGGACATCCTTACACCGTATTTCCAGTCCCTGTCAGTAGAGGCAGAAGCGGAGGGAACTGTGAGGGACCTGTCAGAATCTCTGTGGTGAAGGGGAACTGGCAGGAACCCGAATGGCTTTCCTCTTGTCCTGTTAGGTTCCCTGTGTCATGGTGGGTAGAGCTGTGGGAATCCTTGGGTTGTGTCCATGTCTGTTACCCCCACAGCCAGTGGCTCTGGTCTCTGCTGTGAGCGGGGTCAGGGGGAGCGGATGAACTTGAGGGGCGTCACATGTGTTCAAAGAGGCCCAGTTCCCTCTGGCACACTCTGTCCCTGACATGCTGAGCTTGCTTCAACTTGGAGGATATTTTCTCTTTCCTGGGGTCACCTGCATTTTTTAGAGCTTGTCTAAGTGCCGTCCTTGAGGAAGGAGCTGCTGTGCCTGGCTGCCTTGGGAGGGCCACCTGGTGGCCCGTCTCCTGAGTGCCTGACTGCCTGTGATGAGATGGCAGCTGCCCACACTCACTCCAGCCGTGAGGCAGAGTCACGGGGAGGGAGAGCCCAGGACCGGCTCCAGGCACCACTTGCCCACAAATTCTTGAAGACCTCAGGCAAGTCTCTGGACTTGAGCATTCTCATGGGTAAAGTGGAACCGCTATCTGAAGACATCCCACTCTAACTGGGAAATAGGACAGTGTTGGTTTTTTTTTTTCCTTTATTGATTTTAGAGAGAGAGGAAGGGAGAGGGAGAGAGAGATAGAAACATGGATGAGAGAGAACATCGATTGGCCGCCTCCTGCATGCCCCCCACTGGGGATCAGGCTCACAACCTGGGCATGTGCCCTGACTGGGAATTGAACCAGTGACCTCTTGGTGCATGGGTCCACGCTCAACCGCTGAGCCACACCAGCCGGGCAACAATGTGGTTCTTACAGAGGAGCTCAAACTGGTAACCTTTGTGTGACCCTGGCCTCTGACATGTATTATTTGGTTGCACAGCATTTTTAAAAAATTTGAATGAGTTTCAGAAATCTCACATAAAAAGGGAGTTTCTACCCTCTCTCGAAAAGCAGGGAGCTGTGGTGGTGGTGGGTTCCCGTGCCCAGAAAGCACCCATGGCATCTGTTTAGAGGGGACCATGTCAGCCTCCAGTCATTTTATCTGTTTATGTGCGAGCCTGACCCTGAAGATGCTGGAGTGAAAGCACAGGCTCTGGAGCCCCAGGCTCAGTGTCCTCATCTCTGCGCCTCCCAGGGGTGCAGCCTGAGGAGCTCATGCAGAGTGCTGGGCGTGCCTGGCTGTTCCCATCAGTATCATGATGGTAATTACAGTACAGGCAACAAGTTGTCCTGGAGGAACTCAAATTTGAATACAAAGTCTGGCAACATGTGATGGTTGATGATGAGGTATGGCTCAATGCGCACCGGGGTTTGCCTGTGGGAAGGGGCTCTGGTGGAAGGTGGCGGTCCGGCAGAGCATTATCTCTGGTGGGGTCCAGGTAAAGGAGAGTCTCCAGGTGCCCAGACAAGGAGGCTGAGCAGGAGGGCATAAGGGGTCACATGCCCGAGTCACTGGAGGCCTGTGAATGGGGCCTAGAGCCTCAGAAATGCAGCCATTACTGAAGAGACCTCCTTAGTACCCTTTGGCTAAAGAGGCAGGGACTCGGGTCACTGACACACACTCCTCCATTGTCCTTTTCACCGTCCTGCCCTGCTCACTGTTTCTACAGATCCGAAAGCCCTCAGAGGACCCCTTCCCCAACACCCGGCTCCCTGCATCCCTTCTAAACCAGAATGAAGATAAGGTCTGGGTTTCCCAGGATACAGAGGCTGCAGTGAGCCCTGTCCAGAGGCCAGATCAAGACTGAGGGCTTGCTTGGCAGCAGGAAGGATTGGGTTATTGGGTTATATAAAGGGAAGAGTTTCCTCACAGTGAGGTGGTCCAGTGCTGGATAAGTTCCCATGGGGGACTGGACAAGCCAAGCCTCTTCTTTGTCCCCCCTCTCCCATCGACCACCTTGGCGAGGACTGAATCCTATGGGTAGCGAGTCCAGAGCTGCTCAGATGGCAGTCCTGGTAAACCCCAGGTATCATTCTCTTTTTTTCATTTATAAATAAGCCCTGGCCTCACTTGGCATCACCAGGAGGGGGGTCTCTTCCTTGGTAAATTTTGGCCAGGGGTAGGAGCTGACAGCCACACAGACTATCTGAACCCACTGCCCTACCTGGCATAGAAAAGTGTCTCCACTGGGGACCCAACCAAAGGACACTGAGCTTGAGACTGAGGCTTAGATAAAGGCAGGAGCTTCTGCAGGTGGGTTTCCTCAGCCAGCATAGAGCATGCTGCCGGTCCCCCTCCCACCACCAGTTTGGCGGAGGTAAGGCCCAGCATAACCGGGCCAGTGCTGGGAAACTCTTGGATCTACCTGGTTGTGTTCCTGCCTCTGATCGGAGGATGGGGGAACCCAAGAGATGACATCCCATCTGCCTGGTCGCTTGCTCTGCAGGAATTGGAGGTGCTCATTTGGTTCCAAGACACCTTGATCTCCATGGAGATGTCTGGAACCAATCTGCACCACCTATCAGATCTCTGGCCTCAGAGCAGACAACTTGTCCACCACTGTAGGCAGGTGAAGTTCTCCAGGACCCCCTTTGGTTTAATAAATCAGTATTCCTGTAAGACAATTCTTATGCCCCACTTGAGACGCCTCTGGGAGAAGAGGGTTCTCCGAATGCCACTGGACCTCTTCAGTTTGGTGTTTAAACCAAGATGTATGTACCCCAGCTCCTGCCCTCAGTCCAATACGCTCTTGACAATAAATGCCTGCTACCTCCGGCCCTAGCATCCACCCAGCCCCCACTCATTCCCTCTCCCATCTCCAGCCCAGATTTCCCCCTTGACTGTGACATCTCAGGGTAGCCCCTGTCTCCAGGCTGCTCCCTCCTCACCCCCAGTCCTACCTGAGGTTCATGTCCCCCTTCATGGCCAGACTGAATACGTTGGACAGGTTCCCCCCAGGGGAACAGCCGCAGATCAGGATGGCTAGTGCCTCGATGTTGTTCAACCGGAAGATCTTGCCCAGCGCGAAGGCAGTGAGGGGCATGATGCCGTACTGCGCCATCAGGGCGATGGCCAGCCCCTTGGGCTTCCAGAAGTGAGACTTGATCTTGCTGAACTCCATGGTGCAGCCCAGCGAGAGCATCATGATGAGCAGCATGACCACCAGGATGGTGCTCAGCGCCAGGTCGGTGGGGCGCTTGCCGAAGTTGGGCGGCAGGGAGAAGTTGAGTGGGGCTGACACATTGAGGGCCTCCATCCCTCCGGCACGGCAGCAGAAGGCCGAGAGAGCAGCACACCCGGCCCCTCCGCTGCTCAGTCCCTGCTGGGCACCTTCGTCAATCCCCTCCCAGGGCAGAGTTTCAGGACAAATGGAACTCCTCTGGCAGGCTGTCCAGGCCAGAATGCAAACAGAAGGATTACACAACTGGCTGTGGCCCCAAAGGGAGAGCGCCCAGAGCTTTACCTGCCTGGCCTCTCCCGAGGTCCTCGCCTTCCTGGGTGCCACTCACGCTTCTTCACCACGGTCTGCTTCTGGGACAAGGGGACTTCTTTCTCTCCTTTGCTCTCCACCGAGCGCTCCCAGGCATTCTGTTCCGGGGGCCCAGCGCAGGTCCAGCCCTTCTCATCCTCTGCTCAGTTTTTGATGCCTTAGGAGGGTGCCCCCCATGCCCAGTGAGTCATCTGCGTTTGCCTCCAAACCCTTGGGAGTGAAAAGAGTCAAGCGTCACCTTTTCTTCCTGGGTCCAGGTAGCCTATCCCAAGGGGCTGTGGGACAGGATACAGGCAGGTGTGTCACTGGCCTCTGAGAAGGGATATATCCATGACTCTTTTCCCAGGAGATGAGGTACCTGTGTCCTCCTCACCTGTGCTGGGGAAGCCTTCGTCCTATCGCCAGACCTAGGTGGTGTGGGTCCCAGGGGAGGAACGCGGTCACATCTAGAGGGAAGGGCCTGCAGGGATGGCGGAGGGGCTCCCAGGAAGGGCAGCTCTGAGGGCACCTGGCTGTGGAGGTTTGTGTCCAGACTCCCTGGCCAGCAGCCTGGGGAAGCCCCGTAGCTTGGGAAACTTTCTGAGCAAGAAGCAGGAATGCACAGGCTTTTCTTTCTAGTTTCCTGATAGCTCTGCTTTTGTGCCGTGCCGTGTCGCTGGCGGGGAGCCGGGCTCGGTGCAGGCAGCAGCGCTAGAGAGAGAGGTGCAGAGGAACGTGCCTGGGGCAGGCTCGGTAGGGCCTCCTTCCCCTCACCCCAGTGGCAGGAAGTACCTTCAGAGGTGGGACAGGGACCAGTCTTCAGAAACAGACTTGCCTCTTGGCTGTGTTGGAACCTTCCAGGCCTGGGGGGAGGCGGGGTGTCTCCTAGTTTTATATTTGCTGAAACAAATCAGGCTTTTTGTGTGGCATTCCAGAGGGCAGGATAGTGACCAGGATGTGAACCACTGTGGGCTAGAGGTGGGGACAGATTTTGGCTTGGTATGAGGAAATGCCTAAAAGTGAATACACTCCAACAAGGCCCCGGGGCCTTTGAAATCCTGCACAGATAAGGGTTGGGTGACAGGATCCTCCACCTGGGACTACACAAAGAATCAGGTGGGCGAGCTGCAGTCCTAGGACGTGGCCTGTGACGCTGATGGAAGCCTGAAGTCTCCCTGGCCCGCTCTGCAGAAACCCCATGCGAATAGCCAGCCCATTCGATAGCGAGTAACACACAGCAGCAAACTCAGCCCACTGTAAAAGAGAAGAAGAGCAGCGAAAGACTCCAACAACTGAAGAATATTCACTAGGAAAACATTGCCACAGAGTAGACAGAAACTGTCCAACCGTTATGCCACTGAAATAAAAAAACAACAACAAAAAACAAAGACTGAGCACAGTAATTGCTTCCATGAAGGAGGACCGCAAAAATAGAAATACAAGAATGCAAATACATTTTTTTAAAGATCACCATTTTTGAATCCCTAAATGTAAAAGTCGATTCAGATAAAGATCATTAATAGATGCTAAAACCTTTGGGTAAAATGTAGTTGGGGAATGGGATATTCATGTGATGAGAAGTGTCACTATTTACCATCTAGGTTAATTAGTAATTATAGAGAGAAGATAATGTACTTTTACATTGGCAAAACCTGGCAGTTACCTACCTAACCAAGTGATTAAACTTGGAATTTTTTTAAAAAAATATGTTTTTATTGATTTTAGAGAGAGAGGAAGGGAGAGTGATGGAAACATTGATGTGAGAGAGAAGTATCGACCATCTGTCTCCTGCACGCCCCCTACTGGGGATCGAGCCTGCAACCTGGGCAGGGGCCCTGACTGGCAATCCAACTGGGACCTCTCAGTCCATGGGACTACCCTCAGTCCACTGAGCCACACTGGCTGGGCTCAACTTGGGATTCTTAATAGATTGACAACCTGAAATCATGTGCCTCCTGATGGAATGCAATATGAAATGCATGACATCAATGCAGTCAAATTGTTTACTCTGACTCTCAAGTCTTTAGAACTAACTGGCAGTTAATTGGAATACAAGTATGAGAAAAACAAACTATAAAGAACCAACCAGACAAATCTAAACGATGGGACATTTTACAAAATAACTGTCATGTCCTCTTTTTTTTTTTTAATCCTCACCCAAGGACATTTTTTGCATTTATCTTCAGATAGAGTGGGAGGGAGACAGGGAGGAAGAGAGAGAGAAAAACATCAATGTGAGAGAGACACAGCAACTGGTTGCCACCCACACGACCCCATCCAGGGCCGGGGACAAACTGCAACCGAAGTACGTGCCCTTAGCAGAAACCAAACCTGGGTTTCTCTAGTCTGTTGGTCGACACTCTAACCGCTGAGCAAACCAGCCAGTGCACTGGCATGCCCTCTTAAACCAGTAAATGTCATAAACGAAAGTTGGGGGTTTGTTCTACCTTTAAAGAAGAGATGTAACCAAGTGCAATGTGCAGTTGGATACTGGGTTGAAAAGATATTTAAAAACATGTTGAGGAGTAATTGGGGAAATTTAAATATGGATTGTGTATTAGATGATATGGAATTATTAAATTAATATTGTGGTTACTTAGGACAATGTTCTCACTTTAGGAAATGCAGGCTGATGTCTTAATGAATGAAGTGTCATGATGTGTGCTTTATTTTAAAATGGTTTGGAAAAATGTGTTTGTGTGTTGTGTGTGCACCGAGAGGGAAAGCAGGTACGGCAAAGTGATGACAATGGTTGAAACTGTGGGAAGGATATATGGATACTGATTGCATTATTCTTCCAATATGTTGGTCAGTTTGCAATTTTTAAAAATAAAAAGTTGAAGTGATAAAGGACACAGGGAAGAGATGGTGAGATAACAGGAGTGGATGAAGCGTGGCTGGCAGAACTCAGGAAGAACGCGGTATCAGAGTGCTAAAGAGAAAATGAAAGGACCACATGTACAAGACAATTAAGGAAATCAAGGGACATGGAAAAGAGAAATGAGAAAAGCAAGCAAAAAGGGATGGCACTAACGAGTTAAGAAAAGAGTAGAGAGAAAAAGATAGATTTAGAAGGCAAGGAATAAAGATTCAATAGATACACAATTGGAGCCTCCACAGAAGAAAACCAAAACTTTGGAACAGATCAAATACAAATACAATTTTCTGAAATAAAGAAGATTTTAAGTTATACCATGTATCAGAAAAAATTAATCCAGAAGGGTCAACTGAGAGACATATATTAGTAAAGTTTCTAGACTCCAAAGATGACCAATTAAGCCAAATGATCAAGTTAGTTACAGGGGACACAAATCAGGGTTCTTTATAGCATTCAATGCCAGAAGCTGGTGATGTAATACCAGGGAAAAAAACGAAAATGTTACCCAAGGATTTTATATCTAGCTAAATTACCATTCAATTATGAAGACGACAAATAGTCTTGAACATGAAAGGATTTAGAGAATGTTGATTCTATGAAATTTTCTTGAGGAAACTACCAGTAGATGAATGTCAGCCAACTAAGAGATATTTGGGAAAATTATGGAAAAAAATATCGGCAGCAAGGTTTGAATACATTTACTGTAGATGAAAGCTAAAATTAGAGTGACTGGGAAGGATGTGAAAATGATGTGACCTGACAATATACAAACACTATGATTAACAAATATTGGTAGAGGAAGGAGGGAAGTAGGTGAGAGGTAAAATTTACTGATTGCTCCATCTGTAATAATTTGGAGTAAAAAAAACACTCCTCAACAAGTCAAGTGATATAATAAGCACCTTTAAAATGCACAAATTGCCCTGGCTGGTTTGGCTCAGTGGTGAGAGTTTTGGCCCATGGACCAAAGAGTCACGGGTTTGATTCTAGCCAAGGGCATGTACCTGGGTTGCGGTTTGGTCCCTGGCCCTGGTCGGGGTAGTGCGGGAGGCAACTGATCGGTGTGTTTCTCTCACATGAATCTCTCTTTTTCTTTCTCTCCCTCCCACTCTGTCTGAAGATAAATGAAAAAATATCCTCGAGTGAAGATTAAAAATAATAAATAAATAAATAAACACAGATTACCTCTGAGAAAGACATTATTGACTAAAGTAGGGTAGAAGAGGAGAAGAAATATGCTTACTTTTTTATTGTTCATAGTGAGAAACTAATAGACATTTGTTAAATAATAGAAAACTCAAGGTATTTGTTAAAGCTTTCATTATAAAAGAATGAAAATAGAAATCTTTTGAAATTTGACAAAGACAACAGATGACATAGTGAAAGCTTTTTAAAAACAATTAAAATGAAAGTAATAAAATGTTAATATGATAGAACTAAGGCTAACATGTGACATATCAATAAATGTTGAAATAGATTTAACTCATTTATTAAAAGAAAAAAAGACATTCAGGCTTTTTCCAGGCAAAACCACCTTTATACTGGTAATCAAGCAAATAATCCATCGAAGACAAAGTATTTTCCAAAAGGTTGAAAATAAAAGTCTGTACAAAGGCACATGAAACAAATGCGAAGAAAAGAAAGCACAGGTCATAATCTTGATATCACATATGGTGAAAATGAAGTAAGGCACTTAGCACGGCTCAAAGACGCGAGTCACAACGAGGAAGAAAACCTACGCCCCAAATAAGAAAGCTCAATATTCATAAAGCTGAAGTTACAGGAGATCCAGGGGAAAAACAGACACGCAAATAAATAGTAGATGCTTAAACGCACCTCTTTCAACCAACTTGAGGGCCTCTGGAAAAAATAAAATGGATATAGAAGACCAAAATATCAGAGAAGCCAGATACAGCTTTACAATTTCTTCTTCAAAATTTTTCATAATTTTCCAAAGTTTGGAAAGGCGATACATACATGAACTATATCTTACCAAACATTTCTGCGGAGGCCTGG